CAAATAACGTTGTAGAAGTAATTTCTTTAGTAATTTTATCTCGAAACAAATAGATTTTTACAGTAAAAAAGTAAAATATCTACTCACTTAATTGAAGTTAAAAACTTTGTGTTTTAATCACTGATTTTATCTAATTTTCATCTTAAGTCCAACTTTGCACAGTAGATGGCAGCACACTTTAGAGACCAAATATAGAAAAATGTCTTAATCGCTAGAATTTAGGAAAGAAAATGTTTAAAGCAGTTTTATTATTATTTTATTTACCTTTCAATAAACGTTTAAATTACTCCTTCTTCTTTATTACTATTACTTTACAAAAGCCCCCTAGTGGCACAGCGGTATGTCTGTTGCATTTCAAATTATATTGGAAGGATCATAAAACATTCGTATCTGGAATTGTGCACATATTCTGGATCGTTATATTAATGATAAATTTTATAATGTTTACATGTATATAATAACAGCACACGTTTAAAACGTTAGGAATAATATACTAAACATGTTATGGCCATCAAGTTTTCACAATAAAATGATCTGACAACTGAAAAATTAGTTTTATTTAAAACTTTTGAATCATCTTAGAATTCACTTATACAAATAGTCGTTATATTAGTTACAATGAAGGAGTAGTCTGGAATCTTTTTACCTCAAGTGTTGATAATCCACCGAGACAAGAAATAGTGAGGAATATAAAGAAAACATATCACACAATAATTAGAAAAAATAGTCCGTTCGGTGTATGCTAACAATTAGTTAACATGTTCACTCGAATGTTCTTAAGCATAAATTAAATAACACCGATATGCCATATTTGTACACGTAGGAAAATAAGTAGCAACGTTTCTGTCAGCTAAAACTCCAAAGTGCGATAAAACACCAATCAAACTTATGTTGTTAGTTCTAAGATATATTTCAATTCATATTGTATTTTCAATGTTTAACTTATTTTCTTTATTTCTGAAGCGATAGCATCAGTTGAGCTCTTCAAAAATTACAACACGTAGAGTGTTTAAAGATTACAAAACGTAGAATGTTTAAAGAAGGCACCGTAACATAAACCTTTCCTTATAAGCGAGCCCAAATGATTTTTCAATAGATCTAAAAGGTTTCACAAATCCATGATTTTCATTCTAACTCCAGTACGTTGTTCATCTTGTCATCAAACCGTTGCTTCCATCCTAACTTCGGTACGTTGTTTATCTTGTCATCAAACCGTTGCTTCCATCCTAACTTCGGTACGTTGTTCATCTTGTCATCAAACCGTTGCTTCCATTCTAGCTTCGGTACGTTGTTCATCTTGTCATCAAACCGTTGCTTCCATTCTAACTTCGGTACGTTGTTCATCTTGTCATCAAACCGTTGCTTCCATTCTAACTTCGGTACGTTGTTCATCTTGTCATCAAACCGTTGCTTTCATCCTAACTCCAGTACGTTGTTCATCTTGTCATCAAACCGTTGCTTTCATCCTAACTCCAGTAC